CGCCACCGGCGCCGCGCATGCGCGATGGGGGTGTGGGCAAGAAGCTCACCGTCGCCCATAAACAAACCATTAAAATGCGATGTTGTCGGCGTCGGTGTGAGTCCCCGCGCTCTTTTTCACGTCCGAATTGCTTGACTACTTACTTGAGCGGCCTCAGCGGAATTACTGAAGCTCGTTACACCGCAAAACTTCGCGTGAATAATGTGACATGCGGCGATTCATTCCGCGTGGACGCCGCGGAATGTACACTAAATCCTAATTCGCATGATGAGATTTCGCTCGCAATTTTCAATCGCGACGTCGCTCGGGCTGCAAAAGCGGGAACCGTAGCTGAGGTGGTCGACGTCGATACTGAAAATCGCAAGCAGAATCGGACCAAGGGAATTAGGCAAAATAACTCGGTGATGGTCACTGGTAACAATGATCAACATCTCCTTGTATCTACTGTTTACATCGAGCCTGCTTACAAACCTTCACACTTTAGTCTTTTGAGGCCTGCACTTACTTTTTATCGCAAGTATCGGGCCAACATTTGGTCTACGGGCCGGCGTCGTCTAAAGGGGTGTCCAAACAGGACACTACAAAACGCACGACTCCGACAAATCGTGAAAATTGAAGCGGACGCGCCCGCTTCGTGCCCTCTTCAATTTTCACGATTTGTCGGAGTCGTGCGTTTTGTAGTGTCCTGTTTGGACACCCCTTAAGAGAGCAGACGACAAGCAGAAGCGTTTGAAACAGCAGACGACAGCTCGAACGATGAGGTGGCCGTTTGAACTCGAAGACGCTATAAACGTAGTCCGCAGGTGGTCCGCACAACTTGACGGTTTTTTGTCGTTCATGTTGGCACAAAACAAATAAATCTGATGACCACAACTATCCGTGAATTAAAATTAAAGTGCTTCCCGCCCAAGCAATCGTTGACCGACGGCGTCTGCTTTTCCCTTTTCACGGCACATATCACATTCTCGGACGAACAGAGCACGTGAAAACTGACCTTCAGACCTTTCTCGACTTTTTTTGGTACGGCCCCAGTCGCGGCGTTTTGACGAAAAGGCAGGGTTTTCTCTGGTTCCTTTCAAAACAACGCAGGAATACACGTCTGGCATGGGGACTTCTGCCCACAGCCCCAGACCGGAAGATGGGCCCGACGCGCCACCACCGCGCCGTGACGTCACAGAGTTGAGTTCATGTATATATAGTGTGGTTCAAGTCGCCAGGCTCAATCTAAAATAAACCGTCAAAATCGACGCCTGCATGTAGCAATTTAAACTTTTCGTCGAAGGTGTATTTCACAGGTAGGTTTCTTCTTGTAAAATTACAAAGCGTAGTTAACTTTTAGTATAAAATAGGGCCAAGAAACTTGCCAGGGTCTACGGCCGGCGGTGACCCAGACGATCAAGTCCAGTAGCGGGGTGTGTTTGGCGTTCGTATTGATAGATGGCGATGGGAGCAGCGTCTGAAGGTGCAGCCCACTGATCTCTATGACAACTGCTGGATTGCGTTTGTCCGCTCCGCGAATGCGGTCACTGGCGGCCATCTTTAGGTAGAGTTATATCACCTCTAGCCAATGTAAGCTGCTGCAGCCGCTATCATCCATCCATGGCAGATAGCGTTTTGGCAGGTGGGTTGGCAGGCTGCTGTAAAAATAGCGTGGGTGATATTGCGTGCTTGATTAAAATTATTTGATGAAACATGTTTTTGAAACCCGGCGTGAACAGTAGTCCGGTTTTTGAGGATCTGGTAAAAGTTTCTACAAAATCGCAGCACCGGGAGAAAAGCACACAGCACGTATCGAAAGTCGCATCGAAAGAAGCATCGAAAGCAGACGACGGTACGGAGTCTGCTTTTGATGCGAGCTGCGCTGCTTTCCCCCGGTGCTGCGCTTTCGTAGAACTTTTTCCGGGTCCTCAAAGATGAGGCTACCGTTCACGCCGGGTTTCAAGAATCTGCTTCGTCGAACAACTTCAATCAAGCACGAAATGTCACCCACGGTACAGTGTACTAGATCTACGGCTATTTTTATGGCAGCCTGCCGCCATTGCGCTGTCCGCCACACTGATCTCAATGACAATTGCTGGATCGCGCTTGCCGCTCCCGCAAGTGAAGCCACCGGGCGTCACTCGCTTGGGATACGATTTGTCGTTTTTGCTAGCCTTTGCTGCGGTTTTCCAGCGTGCTGACGACACGTTTTCTACTCGTTCGTCGTCATTCGCCGAAGAAGTTTTTTGAAGACTCTGTGTATTGTTGAGACTTTCCGTTGTGAACACGTGGAAAATTTTACGAAAGTGCAGTGTCGCAGGAAAAAGGCACAACGCGTCGAAAGGAAGGGCTGGCGGCGTGTTCAAAGCATCCTTGGCACGCCGAAGTGCCGTGTCTCTGTGCCTTCGCGCGCTTGGATACCGACCAAGAACCGACGCCGTGTGAATGTGTTTAGCGAGTGCAATGTGCGTGAAGCCGTATCAAAAGGTACAACTCGTCGAAAACGTGTCGCCGGTGTCGCGGCGTGATCAAAGCTTCCTTGGCACGCTGAGTGATGCATCTTTGTGCCTTCGCACGCTCGGATACCGGTCAAGAATTGACGCCGCGCCAAAGTTCTGAACGTGTGTCGCGCGTAGATGCCTTTAGATCATTTATATATATCGGCCACGGAGTTCTGGATCGTCCGGCTGTTCCGGTGAGTTGCTATCAATAAAAGGGGGTGATCTGTACGTATTCTTATGTTCTATATTAACCATGGCTATGTCCCAAATCTACTCTAATAGATTCCGTGGGAGCACGAATAGGGCAACGTTGTACGTGGAGCCAGGGGGGTTTTCGAAAGCAAAAGTACAAGACGGCGAGAATGAAAATCTTTGAAGCGCGGCCGATATGGTCGTGTGCAATCTGTTGACCAATTACAATTAGGCGAGTCGCGTAGGTTGATAATAAGCCAGCACTGATCAGTGATGAGGAGCTGTTGTGCACGGTATTGTGTAAATCGTCTAAGGACGAAAAAAAGACGTACCTTCTCCCCATCCTCCGTCGCTAGTGGACGCTGGATTAAGCTCGTTCCTAAACCGCGAGGGGAAAAGACGCTGATCCAGAGGCACGAACAGCTTCACGCACATTGCACTCGCTGAACACATACACACGGCGTCGGTTCTTGGTCGGTATCCAAGCGTGCGAAGGCACAGAGACACGGCACTTCGGCGTGCCAAGGATGCTTTGAACACGCCGCCAGCCCTTCTTTTCGACGCGTTGTGCCTTTTTCCTGCGACACTGCACTTTCGTAAAATTTTCCACGTGTTCACAACGGAAAGTCTCAACAATACACAGAGTCTTCAAAAACTTCTTCGGCGAATGACGACGAACGAGTAGAAAACGTGTCGTCAGCACGCTGGAAAACCGCAGCAAAGGCTAGCAAAAACGGCAAATCGTATCCCAAGCGAGTGAAGCCCGGTGGCTTCACTTGCGCTGCAGCGAACAAGCGGGGAAGCGCGATCCAGCAATTGTCATAGAGATCAGTGGTCCGCCATATTACTATGATGGCTAGAGATGATATAACTCTACCTAAAGATGGCCGCCAGTGAGCGCATTCCGGTCCATAGGAGGAGCTGGACAAACGCGATCCAGCAAATAGACATAGAGATCAGTGGTGCAGCCGACCAGCGACAGATAGCAGACGATACGCAGACGAAATCCGTTGGCAGCAAAGGCGCCATCGTTATGCAGACGCGTTTTTTTTTTTTTACTTTAAGTTTTGGTTTTATTGTTCGCATTTATTTTTTTAACCGAAGGTGAATTTTAAAAAGAATATATTCATTTTAATAAATCACGGTGGTCGCGAGCCGTCGCGATAAGGAGGTAGCGCCATCTATCAATATGAACGCCAAACACACCCCGCTGCTGGACCCCTGTCGTCTGCGTTGCTGCCAGCCGTAAACCCTGGTAAGTTTTTTGGCCTTATATTTTACAGAAAGAGAGATGCGCTTTGTAATTTTACAAGAAAAAACCGACCTGTGAACTACACCTTTGACGAAAAGTTTAGATAGCTACATGCAGGTGTCGATTTTTACGGTCCATTTTAGATCGAGCCTGGTGACTTGGACCATCCTATATATGCGTGTGCGTGTGTGTGTGTGTGGTAACAAATTCGTTTTTGTTTTGTTTCATTTGTTTTTACTTTACTTTTACATATACAATGTAAGTGTGATTTACCTCCTATGCAAATTAATTTTATAAAGGTCTAATGGGAAGTATTTTTATTATGAAGGTGACGCCTCCGTTTATGATCCCTGCGCCTATGGAACGATCAATTTTTTTTTGTTTGTGCCTCCTAGACTTTCTTTTTTATTAGATGGCTCTACTAGAATTGTGTCCTTAGTTTTGAGAGCGTAAGATATACGTATACAGTTATGTCTCGTTACTATGGACCCTTTTAACAGGAATACTTCGCTATATGGAAACCATTTTCGGGGACGAACAGCGAAAAGACATGCATTTTTGTCTCGTTAATATCCACAACTCACATTATGGACGATTTTTGGGAGGACAGGAGGCGTCCATATTAACGAGAAATCACTGTAATAGAATGAGTTTTAGGAAGAGTCCCCAAGAGGCGAAACGGTTTATACGTAAAAACAAACTAAGCCAGGCGGATTTTTTTTTTTTTTTTTTTTGCCAACGGTTGTTTAGGAGGCGAGAGCTGTGCTCAATTTCAGGTGGTAGTCAATTCGTTCTTAGGTATACCTGTACGTATTGAACATATACCGTTCTGTCGGAGGAAGCCCATTCGTGGAAGGGGTGTCAGCACTAGGTCCAGGTCGCTTTTAGAAAATGAACGAATAGGTACCATACTTGGGTGGTGATTTCAGTATTTTCCCATCAACGAAGTCATCATCTGGATTTTGCCATCTTCTCATAACACTCCTTTTGAGTGTGTTATGCATCTTCAATGTGCCTCAGGAAGGTTAGGCAGGGGTCGGTTCTATAAATCATGAACGCCAGAGACGGGTCACAACATCACTCACTCTTTTTATTTAAGAACGGAAATGAAAAGCAGTTGCTTTCTTTCCCATGTTTTTATTGTAAACGATTTGTTTATTTACAAAAAATAAGTTACACATCCTTCGCTTGAACCTAAAAGACAGAAAAGTGGTAGCAGAGGGTAATAGTGACCTTCACCACAAGGGGCGATGACGTACGCTAAGATCGCACGATCTTGAAAACATTTTCTTTTTGTTCTGTCGATGCACCAAGTCGCAGAATGTCGTAGCGCACATCCTCAATTGCATCCCAGCATTCCCGCTCAAGATGAGGTTAAATATGTACTCTTCTATGGTCTCCTGGACACAGCTTCGACTATGATCGGCCTTACAAAAGTCGGCCTTTTTATTTTAGGGATATTACACTAACAGGCTGTTCTTCATGGATGAAGAAAGAATAAAACAATTAAAACAGGAACAGCACAACCACATGCTTGGGAGAAGAGCGTGTTGTAAAGAAATCATGGTATACGAATCATGAAAGCAACAAATAAGAAAAAAAGTTGCAGGCTCTGAATTCCACCAGATAAAGCGCGAAGCTAACCACAGTGTGTATAAATTCTTATAGGTTTATATTTTAACGTTTTCATGGAAAGTAGCGGGAAATTTATGAAAATATCCGAGAACCAACAATATCTGAAAAGTGCTCTGAGCTTCGCTAAGAAGTGCAACACTGGCACAAAGCCCCCCCTTCCCCCCCCCCCCCCCCCCCCCATTAGTCTCAATTGAGTGTTTCCGTGCCTCGGTGACGATACAGCTGTCCATTTCGTTCAAGAGGTAAGCAATTTGACACGCATCGTGGCACTAACTTTCACTGGAGTCTCTCCTCACACCCAACGAACAATGAACATTGGATCACGGGGGAATGTGACGGGCGGCACACCCACCATGTCGTGACAGACCATTGCCTACACGAAACAAAACGCCTCTAGACGGAATACTTAAACTCGAGGCCGGCAAATCGGGGGAAAAAATACATACACAACTTCGTTTAGCCCCAGCGTTCGTCGCGGTCAGGTGTCTGTGTACGTTCTTCGGGCTACTTCGAGAGGCTCCAAGGCCGAGCAGCGGGGAGCTGTGCTGCTGCTGACCATTGTGCGGCCACTACTTCCTGGCTTCGTACGCAAAGGCGTGGCTCCAATTACTATGCCTCCGTCTCAGACCCTTTCGAAGATATCTGTCCCAAGGGCGTTCTCAGCGCCTCGCGCCGAAATCGTGGACTCGTATTTCCGCATTTTAATGGTGGGCCCCCTCAGCGTAATTTTGCCGCCTTGGGTACCGCACGGAACGATTACTGGGCACACGGCACCGCGGCAGTGGTTTTCGCGCTAAAGGGTTTGGTCAATAGGTGATTAAGCGAGGGCTGACATCAGGGGAAGTGCGTGCGCCGGACACCATGCGCGAAGAGAGCTTGCGTCGATAGATAAGCGGAACAACGATGCCTTGCACTGTAGTCGCATCAGGGACCATTATGATGGCCTTGCTCCTTAGCGCATGCCTTCTGCAGCACATTTGGCACCATCGAATTTGTTTCTCTCGGCCAGAACAAGTAGGAATGACCGCCACCAGATTTCAATGACGTCACATGCAAACCATGTATACGAGCTGTATTTCGGCTGCGCTAATCCACGTGTCTGGACGGGCGTTCCGCGCCGTCCAGATTCGAACGTGGCGTCGCTGGAAGTCGCCGGTAAATTAAATCCTGGACAGATCGAGACCTGTTGTATGCGTTAGAACGTTCCATTTTCGAGCTTGTCATCAAATCATATTCAAGTTTTCTTTTTTTTAACTTGTAGAGCGCATGCGCCAAAGACCTTCTGGAGTCACAGACTCTCTCCCGTCTCGGGTCGGATATTTCAATGCCCCAACTCTTTCAAGGACGGTCTTCAATATGTCCGCAAGGTGTAAATAATTTCCATTTTATACGGCTGCAGTCGCAGCACAGTCATTGTTAATAGGCACGTTTAGATCTGACGATCAATATAGAGATTGGATCTGGCATGAAGCAGTCCAAATAAGAGTGCAATTGGCCAGTTCATTTTAAGCCTATAAATTCCGACAGCCCTTATATTTGAGTCTTATTGAACCAACTTCATCTTTTTTATGCCATTATCTCCTCTCCTGGAATTTGAAAACTGTGTGCTAACCCCGTTCTTATTTCCGACTACTCGCCCTTGATGAGTCCACGATACGCTTTTTTTTTTCTTGTGTTTTTTCCGGGGCCTTGTGTGATCTGCATCCTAATATAGTCGGTGACTGAAAAGAAAGAAGACCAGATGTCAGACAGTTTCTTTTTTGGCGTTTTATTTCTTTCCAAGAAAACGTAACAAAGGCTCAATCGAGTTCTCATGGTATCTGCGTCGGAGTAAGCTCTGGTTAGCAAGGGTGACGGGATGCGATATCCACCATCAAACGCCAAGTTTACTTTATTTTCATAATAGTTTTAGGGCTCAAATATATTTAATGCGCGTTTTTTAGGCTGTACTATAGTTTAATAACTGCTTGTAGGCGTCCATCTCGAAGCACGACGACCGCCCATCATGGCCATCTAGTGAAAGAACTTACCCTATGACGATGCACCAAATCAGTTTTTGAAGTGAAGTCCCAAGTACTCACGAAGGAAAAGCTTGACGCATCCAGCAATTATTCTCTTCATACTTGACTCGTCGAAACATCTTGCCATTGGGGAGGCCCCTTCAATAAATAGCAATGATTGGCTGCCGATGTGATTCGAGAGGAAGTTGTGACGCAAGGGTTAGGTTAGAGCGGACGTGAGCTCCTCAGAAATCACAAATAAGCTTTAAAGAAAAAGCTGCTTTCTATAAATACCACATAGCTCGAGTAAAAAACAATGAAGATTATGTTATTTCTGAACTTTGCTTGCGATGTTAACAAAGCGACAAGTTTATGGCTACTGCAAGAAAGCGATTTAGGCGAGCAAACTAAGCAGGTATACCACGCTCATAGTTCAGGTAGCTACTTCAATATAATTCAAAGTATACTAGGCTTAATAAGCTTTATCAATGATTACACAAGTTACACTCAAATGCAGGTCACTATTTACACATATGAAGAGAAGTGCAGGGCTACGTCTCGAGGTTTAAATAAACAGAAGCACACCTACTAATGTGTTTTAAAACCCACAGTGCCGGATTACGGATACTCAAACCATTCAAGGAATAATACAACACGGGAATAAAATAGTGTCCTATAGCTAGAAAGAAAAAAAAACTAAGTTATTCTTTGCGTGTTATTTGAGCAAGCATTGTATAGTACATATCCAAGATGTTATGTTATTTACTTCAGGAATTTAGCGGGACGAAACCTATGTAAATATGTTATGAGGGGGCAGTCAGGTTACAGCGTCTGAAGGTATGGGCACTTAGATTGGTAGCGTAGGAGATCGGAGGTATGATAATGCTTTGGCAAATAGAGCCCTAAATACTCGAGAGAAGGTACGGTTTGACAGTGGCGCCTCAAAAAGAATACGTGTGGGCATGAGACTTGACTTTAACTATATCTCTTTACAAAAACGACAGAGACTCGGAGATATAATTCTGTGTTTGGCGTCAGATGGCCGTAGGAGCGAGGTTCTGAAGGATGAAGCTGAACGCTGATGATGGGGATGTGGTCTACGGTGGTACCGCTAGACTAACCGGTACCGATGTTGTACGCCAGGAGTGACGTATCAAATATAGGCAGGGCCTTTTGCTCAACTTGCCCTTGCTGTGCGGGAGCGCCGCCCTGGGGTCCACCCTGGTATCCTTGAGGCGCGCCCTGGTATCCCTGAGGCGCGCTCTGGAAAGCCTGGGGTGAGCCCTGGTAACCCTGAGGAGCCGTCTGGAGACTCTGCGGCGCCACCGCCGGCGAGACCGAAGAACTCGTCTTCCCGAGATAGGGGTCTTCGTACTTTTTAGGGTCGTACAGGCCGTGGTCGTAAAGCTCCGCGTTATAGCTTCCGTCTTCGGGGTCCTTTTTAGCGTCTGGCTGCGGGGCTGCTCCGGTGCCGTAGACCGCTTGAGGTGCAGCCGCAGCTCCGTACGACGATTGAGGCGCACCGGTGGCTCCATAGCTCGGTGGTTGCGGAGAGTAGCTGACAATTTGAGGAGCGGCGGGTCTCACGAAGCTTGGTGGAGGTCCCTGCTGTTGCGGGGGCCTGAAGGAAGCGTACAGCGGAGCGGCTCCCTGTGGCTGGAAGGCTGAGAGGGCCTGCTTCTGTTGAGGAGGGGGCCGAAGGTACGCCGGAAACCCTTGCTGTGCCGATGCAGTTGGAAGTACATAAGGCGAGAAGGTTGGCCTACTCGGAGATGGCCCTGTTGGTGAATAGGTTTGCTGGGGGAGCGGCCTTGGAACAAACTGCTTCAGGAAGTCCTGGAAGTTGGGCTTGGTGGCAGCCTTGTCAGCCTCCCGGTTGAAGATATTCGTTGAAGTCAACTTAGATTGCTGCAGGTACTGCGCCGGTACGTACTGCTTTCCGCCTTGCGACGGAGCACTTGTAGCCAAGCTTGGACCGTACGATGGTGGACCGGGAGGCCTGTACGGGTAGCCCAACTGCTGCGCAAACTGCGGATAGGTTGGACGCTGCTGCGTAGCGGCCGGCAGCTGCAGTCCCGCGAAAGCTGGTCTCTGAGGTGAACCGAACTGAGGAATGTAGCGCACAGGAGCAGATGGGGGAGCTATCCGGGCCTGCAGAGATGCCGATGGTGGCGTGTAACTAAAGGGTGCAGACCTAAGTCCTGGTCGGTCTTGCAAACCTGCCGATGGGGTAAAGGGAGAGTATCCCAGCGTTGGCGGCTGCTGTTGCGGCTGAGGCCGTGGCTGCGGGGCCGCGGACTTCGGTTCTGACAGGTGCTGGAAGAAGCTGGGGAATGCCAGGTTGGAGGCCGAGAAGTTGGGGAACAACGGAGGTGGAATGTCAGGATGCAGAGAAGGAGCCTGTTGGGCTTGAGGTTGTGGGGCCTGAGGCTGGGGTTGGTACTGCGGGTAGGATGGTCCTTGTGGAGCCGCGTACGTTGGAGGCTTGTACTGAGTGGCAGGTTGGGGAGCCGGTGATGGGGGCGATGGCTGTGGGGCGGACGGGGACGCAGACACGCTCTGTTGCAGGTGCTCAGGTATGGTGTCCTTGGGAGCGCCCTCCTGGTAGATGTCACCCTCGGCCTTGAAGCCTTCCTTGCCCGCCGTGTATTTGATGATACGCTGACGGCCGCTGGCGTCGATAAAGCCGTAGGAGCCCTTCACGGTGCCATCAGGAAGCCGGGTCTCCTCACGGAAGCTGCCGCTCTTGTCCTTGCCCTTGCCCGTGTCGTAGCCGAACTTGTAGTCTCCCTCCAGCTTAGTGCCGATGCTGACGTAGTGTAAGGGTGCTGCTGCAAAGAGGGGTGTCTTGACCTCTTCCTTGGTGTCAGTGGACCCGGTGGATGATGCAGGCTGGCCCTGCGCTTGCTGCTGGGGCTGTTGCGCGCCTTGAGGCGGACCATAGATCTGCGCGGAAGGCGAGAAGTAATGAGAATTGAAATGTATGGGTGAGACTAATTGTTTCTTTTGTTTTTTTTACTTCTGTGCTACCAGTAGAAATAAACTGCCTTTCTGACGTCCACAAGTGAAATATATGGATCGGGTTCTTGTGTGATTTGCTGGAATTCCGACGTCACAAATCGCAAGTACATACAAAAGGTGTGTAGCTTAAACATAGCAAACTGTTTTCAAATTTATTCCCATTCGTTTATGCCCATCTATGCTCCTTAGGAATGCCACTATGTTGTTTTAATGCCGAATTAACTATTCCAAGCTCATGTTAAAGCTTTTAACATAAGGTGGAGTTGCGAGTAAATCTGTAATATGCGTACAAAAGCGTCGTATTCTTAAAAAGAAAAACTATGTATAAACCGTAGAGGCCGCATGCAAATAACAAGTTATAAAACTGCATGCTCATTTAAGGTACGGTTGAGTTTCTGTTCTTAATATGTGTGATAAATTCGCAATTCCAGCGTGGCGACGAAGAGTGAATTTAAATATACCACGGCAACAGTTTGAACTTTTTGTAGCGATACCTTACAGATCTCGCCAAAGAAAATATTGCGAAAACAGTCCCTCCTGTGGCTTAGCTGTCACAATATTGATCGGTTTTATTTCTCCAAGGTTGTCCAAGCACTATTCATTATTGTGCCAATGCGCTATGCCATCAAACTACTAAATAAGGCACCCTAGGGCCGGCAGCATTTGTCCTACATCAAGATGAAATGAAACTTCTGCACAGTTAAGAACCATTATGCTATATCGCGGGAAAAGGGGGGGAAGGGGGGGGGGGGGCGCAAACTGCGGCTCGGAGCGGTGAGCCCTTCATGCGTACAAGTGCGGATTGCGCTCCCCTGTAAGCGTGCCACCCTTTCCGTGTTCCCAAGACAAAAGAACTTCTAGAATTAAACAAAAAAACAAAAAAAAAAACACTTACACTCTTAGCAGCCTTGTGCTACACTACGTACATACAGCTGGACTGCTTTTGACACATAAATGTGTCCAGTGGCCCGGTTTCATTTACTGTTATGGAAATAGTTTCAAACCGTATACGCATAGCGCGGGCGTCAGGGGCGGTGACTGGCTTGCGAACCCTGCATTCATTTTTGCTTAGCAGTTGAAGAAACGTTCTGCTGCCTGGTGTTATTTGTTGTAGTCCAAAATTATGCTTGTCCCCTTTGGAAAAGAATAATCCATCCATAGCGTTTCTCGTTAAAAGTACCCCCCCCCCCTTTTTTTTTTCGTTTTTTTTTCCCCTCCGGCTTTTTGAAATTTTGTAGTTTTGTCTGCGTCTCTAACCCCATGTCAGTCTGGCAACCCCTTTGCTGTATGCTTAGCAATATTCCCCACTTTCTGGGGATGGCTTTCATCTGCTTTGTATAAAAAAAGGTCTTCGCATTTTTAGTTCTCGAATTATCGTATCACAAATGCGATACACAGCAGAAACAGCTAGGGAAATTCATTTAATCCTCCAGATGAGTCGCAAATACATTTGTAAAAAAAAGTGATGAGGAAAAGGACAGAAAATAGCTGCCGGTATTCGGATAGATAAAGACATCAGTCGTCAAGGTGTCCTAATGTGTTGGTACTAATTACATTAATGAAATAATATAGCCTCGTAATATTCAGCTAATTACCAGATGGCGTCACTCCGCTATAACTCCATTATTATACGCCCAGAGACACTAACGGCGCGTAATGACCTTCACGTGAACGGCGTTGTTAAAGCTACGATTTGACGTACAACAGCTTCTTTCCACACGTACCACCAGGCAGAATTTATTTTTTCTCGCGTGCACTAAAAACTAACCGCACAAACTTCGATATGTTTTCCTTATTTTTGACTGGAGTCGTTCGATCTTTCTGGGGCCCTAAACTCGTCAGACACAAAGTTGGAGCCGAAAGTTCGCAGAGCGCGAAGATTAAACGCTGGCGAAAAAAGTGTGAAGTCATCGTCGTGATACTCTAGTCGGCGCGCTACGTGAACTTCGGCCCCAACTTTGTATTTGACGAGTTTAGAGCCTCTGGGGTGACTCACTACAACCCCCCCCCCCCTCCCCAATTGTTTGTTTTTCTTCTTAAAGTTAGTTTCTGTCATTCACTACGTGTATATTTTATCTCGATTTGTACACGTTTATATATACGTTCTGACACTTAAGCTGATTTTCGCTCTAGTGACTTTAGACTCGGGCAGTCGCCACCGATGCTCGAAATAGGTGATTATACCTTTCTTTCACAGCACACCCAGTCCGAGCGCAGTCGACACGATACGATATCATAGAATGAATTCGGCAGCACCAAGAATGCACCGTCACGGCCATCGTCGCCTATGTGTGCTTGCTATCTCCAGCTGATCCAACTAGGCACAAAAAGCGCACGATCACGGCACACATTCACTGTGCGCGATTGGATTTACCAGTGTTTGCAAACGCGCAGAGGCGGCGAAGTGTATCACCAGAAGACTCGCACATGAACAGTTAGTACCCTAGGGCTCATCGTTCCGTATCGTACGTTCAAAATGCAGATCTCTAAAACTCTCTAATGTGAAACGGAGTATAGAGACCCCAAGAACCAGAATAAAGACCTATATTCTTCTAATAGTTCCAAGTGAGGGGTATATCTGTCACTGTCGGCCCTCTATTCTCGCCTTCGACGTCCACTTGCCGAGACTGTAAGGCGAAATCGTTACCTTACAATATACCATAGTCTCAAAGACTGGCAACTGAATTAACAGAACTGGCGTCACTGTATATGTCAAAGTCAAATTTGGGGGTTTTACGTGCCAAACCAACGGTGGGCATCTGGCACGCCACAGCGGAGGACTGAGGATTAATTCGGACCACCTGGGGATCTTTTGACGTGCAACCGAAAGCTCGGTTACCACGGTGTCTTCTCTGCAATAAGCCTCCGCGTCAGATTGCGGGCACGTCATTGTATACGTAAGATTATGTTGTAACTAAGCTCTGTTTTTTTTTTGTTGTTGTTGTTGTTTTGTCTTATTTTTGTGAACGTTTTGAATTTTGTTGTTTTGGTTATCTCTATTGGATCTATCTTTTCTTATCGATTCTATCCCACGGTTTGCAAAACACTGCGCGTCGAAAGAAACTAGATTGACGTCACGCCGCGCCGACAGCAGCGCCATGTTGGCAGCGTAACGTCAAAGTCTTACCCCGCCGGACGATGGTGGGCCCTGGGGCACGTATCCTTGAGATGCAAAGCCCCCCTGGGGCCTCTGGGGCGACGAGTAGAGCTGTGGCGGCGGGCCGTAGCCCTGCGGCGCGAAGTTCTTCTGCCCGCTGGGCGGGCCCGGGGTGGCCGGGGGCCCGTACGGCTGGTAGCCCTTGAAACCCCCGCTCAGAGGAGGAGGACCCTGGAGATACTGCTGCTGGCCGACACACAGCGAGGCCAGCAGGCACACTACTGCCACAACCTGGACGAGAGGAAAAAGAGCGCGTCGTGGTTACAACAGGGGAAAAGAAACACGAGGAGGCGTTCTTTTTTACGTTCCACAGTTGGACTCTTTCAATGCTTTCGATGCTTCAGTGTTTGCAATGTTTTTATTTACTTTTTTTTTCTTCCGTATTCGATAAACGAAAGTCATCAATGTTTTTTTTTTCATGTGTTATTATTTCTTTCTTCATTGTCAAGTATATTAATGCTTGTATATTTGTGTACATCTGTGTGTATATATCGGTGAACTCGATATCTTATTCGAAAGTTGTGATTTTTTTGTTGTTGAAAATTTGAATGGGAAAATGGGGTTTATTTTCGCCAGTTTTTGATTTCTGCCGTCATAGAGCTCCGCCGTATTCGAGAGCCCGTCGGCCACCATTTTCGTATTGAACTTTTCAGAAAATCCTTTATAACTTTTGAAGAAGATATCTTTTTGTACTGAAACTTCGGCAAGAGCGTTTGGGGATGAGTAATTTATTTTTAGGTGAAAAACATTTTTTTCTGTCTATTTGGTCTTAACATTCGTATCCTTATAGCTTTATTACTTTCCTGAAATAATGACCTCTGGACGGAGCGGATTAAATTAAATAAATAAATAAAACTGTGATTTTAATTCCCCTTCGAGATAATATTACTAACCTATTTCTTCATTTCATGGTACCTTTGCGAACTGCCTGCCTCGTATATCGTCACTTAGATACACTTAGAAACTAAGGTATGATCACATTATGTAAAACACTCAGTTGAAAGCCCCTAAATGTTTGTCCAACTCCGGAAATAAATAAAAATAAATAACATACGTTCAATGCCAACAAAGACTGATGAGATTGTTGGAAGTAATCAAGACGAGTTTTTAATAAACTAATTTGGTTAGAAAAGGAAGGTCTGCGACTAGAGAAATATTTATGTCGGCAACGCACATTCGGCACATTGCAATATTCAATGCAATCACTGAGGAGTCTCCGTAAATCAACTGTGAGTTTCACATCAATGAGGGTTTTGTAAAATCTACCATTGTAAGTATAGCTTTGGTTTATTTATCACTTACTCTTCCCTATAACATTTGAAGCGTGGTTATGTTCACCCGAGACTGGGTTGTTGTAAAGAACGACACAAACACTAAGAAGTTTGATGATTGTACCCTCGTCTACTAGCTGTTTGTAAATAAATATGTCTTACCTAATTTTGAGCTAATTAAGCCATAGCCTCCTGCTTTTATTTTGGAAATTATTTAACAATTTTGGAACGATTTGAATTCGAAAATAAAAAAATGCTCCGATATTAAATGTTCTAAAATCGCAGTTGCGCGAATTCTTTTTTTTTTTTTTTTTAAAGAAGCTCCATGCTCTGAGATAGGGCCAAGCATGATTAAAGAAGGATTCATTTGAAGCTGAGAGCATAAGCCATTGAATATAGCCAGATAATCTCACGATTACGTCAGAAAAACTTAAGAATGCCGACAATCTAATGACGTAATAAAAGAACAATGTAATCATTTTTTTTCTTATGTCACCTCGAGTTTGAAAAGGCAGGTATGTTTGTTACACGAAACCATACGCCCGACGGAAAGTTTCTGTTAAAGGGGATTTTCTACTTCATCAGAAAATTCCTGTCTTAAAGAGATTCCATTTGCTCGAGGAATAGATTTACTCGGGCTAATCTTAGATGTTATCAGAGGCTGATCATACCGACTCTTGATTTCTCATAAATTGTCAATCCAGTGATATCCCTATAACTTTCAAGTTACAGCTGATATCTTATCACAATCAGCACAACGGTTTCTTTTTTTGTGAGGGAACGGTTTACAGTCACCATAGACCCTGATAGCTTAAAAAATACAGGGTGTGGCAAGCCCCCGTAAATCTCAATATTGTTCCCTCGACCAATCAGATCGTGGCATTAGCCGATAAGAATGGCAGCGAACGAATTACGGGGCGAGGTGCGTGAACATAAAATGCCACGCCCTGCGTTTCATCGGGGTGCCACCGACTATTGAACAGGGTTCCTGCTTATTTCGAAATCGCTCTAAGAACGACGATAGGTTAATAGAAATTAAAAGCAGATCCGCGCGAGCTCAAAAACGCGCGCGCCATCTATCAGCTCAGCCGAGGGTTGCATCGAATCTTACCGCGGAAGCCGCATGGCGGACAAAATATAGGCCGCCTATTTCGCGTGCGCCAGTCTCGCAACACTCGCCAGGTGCCTCTCGCAGTCCGTTCGTCGCACGTGGAGAACCTAGCGCAACAAATGGTGCGTGCGAGTACAATGCACGAAGTTGAATTAATGGTACGATCGTGAATAGGGGGGGGGGGGGGGGGGGGCAGTTTTGAAATGGCTGGTGGGTGGCGCGCTTGGAGGTGGATACCCCTAAAACTGATTATCCCAGATATCTGTTTTTACGTAAGTGAGATGTAATTTGACACCGTGCCCGATCGTATCACCGGCGCGCGTGCTCTCAATGTCTCATTAGTATCGTACGTCAACTGAAGTTTGTAATGGAATATGCGTGATGAAAGTTTAACGCACAATGAGTTAAGTCATAAACGGACATTCGATAATGCTAAAACTATCTTTACGGGTTGTTGTTTTTTCATGCAGGGAATCGTTTTTAACGGAACCCCCTAATCCCAAAAATTTGTCCATCCGTGCATTTTGCTAAAATTAGCGGGATGTTGACGTCACGTGACGTCATGCTGACCTTAGATTAAAAATTAAAGTCACGTGGCCTGACGTCACGTGACGTTGGGTCACGTGACACCGTGACAGCACGGTGCCGAGTCCCGTCGTTACGTGATGCCTCGATTTCGCATGACGTCACGACGCGTTACATCAGTTTCCCCGCACAATTTAATGGGGAAATTAAGAACCAATTTTTTCATTCCCCAAAACGAACGTTAAAGTCTTCCAAACAAAAATTAACGATCGCTCCTTGAGTACTTCGTTTCATGCATTATATAACTTTCGAGATAAAAGTCGGTGGTAATTTTTTTATATTATTTTTGCGATATTAGAGGGGAGTGAAATTGTTACGTTGTAGAGGTTCTGGTTCTTTATTGACGGGTCGGACTTTTCATCAGGGCACGCAGGTACAAAGTTATTGTCCACTGTCCCCTGGGTAACTCAGGCGATTTCTGTCAAACCTTCATTGGATATGTTGTGTGTGGTTTTATGTGTTAACTTAGTGCGTTCAGTATATGCATCCTAGCGTTAAACCACTGTCACCATAACTTAATGGCAGATCGATATCTATCTGCATAAATATTTACGGCGTTCAGTTTCTATCATTCCCGAGTGTTTCCACATGGTTCAACGTAGACGTTGCACACTGGTAGACACGAATGACCCAATTCCATGGCGATAACTCCGAGGAAAACAATCGCATCCACTGTCCTCGAGTACAGGTATATTTTACAGCTAAGATCGTTGTATCCGTTCGTTAACCGTGATATACGAGGTCGTAAATTTGTAAGGGAGTTTCCGTTATAGCAGTCGGCTGCAGGACCGTTCATAACAAAAATGGCGAGCACTACGTATTCATAGCTACACAGATATACAAATCAATACGAAAAGCAATAAAATGGCATCCTGACATCGCACGATGCCCGCATTGGACTGAAACAAGCAAGTCAACTTCAGAAATAAAAAAAAAAATGTATACGTATATATCCTTCTCAGAATTTATAGTGCTTGAAATCAAAGGAACATTTTACACGATGCTTATCGTCTTTATTTGTCATGAGAGGCGCTGCTCGTCTGGCTCCTCTGCGCAATAAAAGTAAAAGCAACGTGGTCCAAAGTAAGTGTGCTTCGTTTATATTCGAAGCCAGGGCGGGTGAAATTGAACGAGCTTTGTACACTTTTATGTCGACGTCAGCGTACTGAGCATCGGTGTTCGTGGGTGTATCCGAATTAGCGGCGTGCATGTATCAGGTTTTGAAGTCTCTAAAATTCCACAACAAACTTCCTTCGCGGATATATATGTGTTTGTACTGGAAACGGGTTCCACGGGCGTCGATATTTGTTTTAAATTAATGACTTGAATAGATATGGATCTTATATGAGGTGCGCTGAACGGCTGACCTTCTCAAAATATGGTGTGTAATTTATGCGCAATGTAACCTTTATATAATACTGTTGTTTCGAAAATTCTTAAACAAATAAAAAAGTACCGAAACGAAAAATACGCTGGAAATCCTTCGCATTCCCACAGCTGTTCACGAACACTTGTGTATATTAATTTTAGAAAAGAAACTTTGAACTCTGCTTCACAAAAAAAGAAATGCACTTGGTGAGGAGATGGAACAGTCACGTTTCTAGCGGTATGCTTCAGCTGTGGGGACAACACACCGAATTTCCTTGTTTGTTTTTGATCAGAGAAATCGAAGATGACGATCCGAAACCCGCTCCTTTAAAGGGGTATTCACACGAGGGAGAAATCCCGGGGATTTCTCCCCGGCACGCGCTCATCGCGAGATGAAAACGCGAGGCTTTTGCACATCGCAAAGCCTGACGTTTTCGTCGTGGGATCCGCGTGCCGGGGAGAAATCCCCGGGATTTCTCCCTCGTGTGAATACCCCTTTATGTGACCAAAGCACTAGTCAGAGCGAAGCGCTCGTGCCTAGACGAGGTTCGATTTCTTTATTCCGTAGTAAACACAGGGCTGTGGGGACAACAAGCTCGATAAAGCACCCCCTATAATTCGACCTCCTGCCCGATAGGTCCTATTCCACTGAACTCGGAAAACCCTAAAATTGCAAAAGCTACCCTACAGCTCTAAAATATTGTTCATGGCATTGACGATTCTCGTCAAAAATCTTCATCAGAGAGTAGAAAAACACTCTGGATTTGTCGAATGAAGTGATCATTACACAACTTTAATTATTTGAGAGCTAAAAAAAATCAAATCAAGTAATTTTTTCTCTGAAGTTAGAACTTTGTTTTGAGGTCAATACAAGATTTTCATGCGCTTAATACATC